CTTTTTCTGATTTCATGAATTTTGATGGACCCATCAACGAAGCAGTACCATTCTTGTCCACATGCTTTCTGTGTCACTGCAGTTGTATGACAAACATAGTTTTAATGGATATAAAGTATGTATGTCGATCTATGTTGTGTACGTTTCTTAAAAAATAAAAATAAAATAAAATGAATGCCATTTTCATTTCGTTATACACTTTTACTTTGTGTTCCTATAATCATTTTTCTTTCAATCCACAGCTAGGCCTAGTATCATATATGTTTGTGTAAGTTTAGTGTACATAGTTGTAGGTTTTATATATAGTGTGTATACATATATCTTGGAAGTTTTACCTTTGTTTTAAAGTAGCCTCTTAACCAGTATACACAAAAGAAACAGCACAAATAATCTCCCAAAAATATCTACTATTGATTGTGTAATACAAATCAACACTTGAATATATGCATTAGTATATCAATGATATATATATATACACCACACACACAATCAATTATGTGATTAATTACTGAAAAGATACTATATATACAAACCCATCCCGGTCTGATTATATACAAACTACAGTACCAACTAATTAATATCTGTACAATCCCCTCTCTCTCAAACCCTTTGTTTTTTTTTTTGGGGTAAGTTAGACAGATTCCGCAGACCCTTTCTCAAACCCTATTCATGAGGAAGAGAAAAACCTTAGAGGCCGCTAATATAACTTTTGTGAATCAAACTCAGTAATGAGTTTAGAAAAGCTTTGATCCCTTCCATTGTTTTATTTATTAATATATACAACCATATATTAATATATATATATACTAATAATACTTGATGATACAAAATTATTCACCGACCCAAAACGATGTCTGATCGAGCACCGGTGTACGTACTACCAGTGTAAGAACCTTCAACGATCAAGTTAGTACAAGACTTATAAGGTAAGTTGTTGCGTTTAACTAGAAAATCACTTATAAGGTAAGTTGTTGCGTTTAACTAGAAAATCAAGGATCGGAGAGTTATTAACTTATCTGACCTCTTAACTCTCATATCTGTTAGACTCGTTGTTGGGGTGCAGTATCAATACTAATATACTTCCCAACAGTAATAGAGTGAGAAAATAATTAGAGATGGGGCAATCTTAAACAGTAATAAGATTTTTTTTTTTTTTAAAAAAAATCATAGTATTGTAATAAACAAAAGAATTTTACTTACTCCATAGATATTTTCATATTTAACGTGAATTGATAAAAATCTGAAAGTTGCAAAAAATGATGCCAAATTTGATTTTCGAGATCCTTTTGTTGGAATAATAAGTTGTTGTGTGAAATGAGATGTATTTTAAAGAGAGAAAATGTTGGAGAGAGAAAAGGGTGAGTTTGGGTTTAGTGAAGGCTTTAAAACTAAATAAGTTGATACCGTGACGTTTGGAGAGAGAGAGAGAGAGAGAGAGAGAGAATGAACTTTGGGGGTAGGGTTTTTGTCAAAACTTAGTAAGGGCATTATTAGAATTTTGATAAAATTTTAGAATGATAATATAAAATAACATACAACAAAAATTACTAAAATAAATACAGAATTTAGAATTTAGAATCTAGATAGATTGAGGTTTAGCGATTTCTATATATCTTTTTTCACAAGTAGCGATTTCTAATTCATATATAGTGTGTGTAATGTAGTACTAAAGGCTGATCAATTTGTGATGGTGTTAGCAGATGCAACAAGGAATTGATTTATAGGGCTTTTGCCACTGTGTGGATAAAATAGTCATTTCAACTATTTTGAAAAGAACTATTAAAATCAAACTCAATCATAATTGTCAGGCTCCAAAAGTACGTCACTGTAGCATGGTTTCAAAAGAAAGTGTCTCTTTTTATTTGAATTTTTCAAAATAAACTTTTTTTTTTATATTTTAATATACGTATATATATATATATATATATTAATCTAAATATTAAGCTTTGAAAACTTTATTATACCAACAATATATATCTTTAATTTAAATTATTAGATGACTGGTTTTAAAATCTTAGAAAGGAAACCTGCATTAATGCTTCATAATCCACTAGCTATATATTTGGTTTTGTCTAATCACTTTAAAAATACTTCTGTTTTTAGACTCGCTGGTGATTATATATTTTATTTATGTTAAGTGCTTATTGTTATACTTTTATTAATGTTAGATGTTGTAATTGAAGGTCCATAATTAAGACAGAATTAGATCAGGTTGGATGAGGGTTGAATTCAGATACAAAACCTAAGCTTGTGCTTCAACCTTACGAGACGCTCAACTTGATCCGGATCTACACTTAAAATATAAGTTCTCAATTGTATTTAACTCTAAGCTCCGTTTGTTTCGATGTAAAATATTTTTTTTAGAAAATATATTTTTTTCAGATAAAATATTCTTTTATTTTTACTTTATTGGTGTTTGACAAAGGTCTACATCGAGGTTGGATCGAGTGCATCAGACCGGACGTGTAAATTATAACTTGCCAAAAATTTATGGATAAATTTTTTTGGTTAAATTTTAATATTTTTTTTTTCGTAAATATTTTATGACAACCAAACACTAGAAAATAAAAAAATATTTTCTAAAAAATATTTTACTTCTAAACAAACAGAGCCTAAATATAAAATTTTTAATCAAAATTTTATTTAAAAATTTATGAGGAAAAAAATTCGTTGTACAGGGGTTGAGATCAGTAAAACTCAAGTTAATTTGAGTTAGTTTTCCAACCTGAACAGCTTATGCTTAGTTTGCTACATTCATCCTTCATAAAAAAATTTTCCTTTAAACATGGGCGGAAGACACTAATAGAAGAAAGACAACATTATTATAAATGTTTTTAAATTACAAAACTCTTCTTATAATTATCATTTTCTCTAACTTCTCTCTTAACAAACAATATCACCATCTTCTCTTCTCTTTTATTCAATCAAACAAAAAGAAGGAATGCCAATTTATTCTGTAACGACCCACTCTACCACATAGTATGATATTATCCGCTTTAGGTCTGAACCCGTACGATTTTGCTCTTGAATTTTACCCCAAAATGTCTCGTACCAATTAGAGATAACATTACCGCATATAAGCACTTTACCTTTTTCTGACCCAGACGATGTGGAATTGTGCACTCGTAACTCGCCTAGTGTGGTAGTCTGTTAATGCCTCTTGCACTTGTCCACGGCACACCCATCCACAACATTTATCTTTTATTCTGTCCCCTCTATCCAAATTTCTTCCATACCAAACGGAGCATAAAACTTTATTTTTTCCTTCTTTCTGTAAGGAACATAATAAATTGTAAACTTATTTTCTTCTCTTCATTCAATCAGATATATATATATAGAGGCGGATGAGATATTTATAGAGAAGAAGAGGTGGATGAGATATTTATATATATGGCGGATGAGATATTTATAGAGAAGAATAACATCTCACCTCTTCTTCCCTTCCTTCCATTTAATTTTTTTCCTTTTCACTAAATGGAGCATTATGGTCCATCCGGTGGGAGGGTAAAAGGTAGGTAATAGGAGATTCCTTATATTGCTTTGTAGGAGAGAGAGGAATAGGATGGATGTTTGGAATATTATGTTAGCACTATATTGTTTACTTGATAAATTAATGCAGATGTCATGTAATAGAATTTAATAAATAAGGATAATTATGTCGTTTTAGTTATAGAGAAAATAAAAATAAATGTCATTCTTTGATCTTCTCAACCCCATTTTGGATAGCTAAGAATTTGGCAGATCCAGAAACATTTCCCGTCAATTAGTTACTAACCTAAGAAAGTTTATCTAATATAAAAGAGTAATGAAGTCACAGGAAATCGATTGGTTATTTTTCGTCAAGTTCATTAAATATTCTTAAAGAGTGAAAATTTAAAATTTCTCACCTAACGTGTCTTGAGTGGGTCCTACACCAATCATGGTTGTCCTTAACCTTAGGGCATGGTTCTGTTTTCAGGTCTCCCATTTTTACCTACAATTTAAATCCAAACTCCTTTCCATCAATGATTTGAAAACGAAAAGAAAAAACTGAAGTGCAGAAAATAAAAGAAAAATTAGGGAAAATCCTAAAATAATGAAGGTAATGTAATGAAGGTGCTATTATCTTCTAAAATGGTTTCCCTTAGCAGAATACAAAAGTATAAAATTAGCAAATAGAATATACAATAGAAGCATATATGTATAAGATAGACATAGGAAAATATATATATATATATATTGAAACTCATCATATGATGAACACACACTTTGGGACTGGACAATGGGCACACCTATTTTCTTTCTTTTTTTCCTATCGATTTTTTTTGTTTATTTTTTATTTTTTCCTTTTGTTTGCATTTTTCGATTTCATTCGCATGAGTTTCCAAATTACAAATCGTTGCCATTGTGTGCTACGATTAAAACTTAGAGTTTGATCCAATTTGTGTAGTCGAAGACGAAACTCACCCAAGTCACGTGAGGTGAGAGAGGATGTTAAATTATACCTATCTTAAAAATATGAATCATATCTGTCTTTAGCCACTTCAGATTCAGTAAAATTTCAGAGATTACCATTCGAATTTTCTCGTCAATTAATTACTAACCTAAGAAAGTTCATCTAATATAAAATAGGTGATGAAACATAAATATATATATATATATATATATATATATATATATGAAAATATTTGACAATAATATGAAATAGATTATCCAAGACACCTGCACATGTAAGAAAGTAGAAGGTTTTTATTTTTTTCAATGCAATTACGACATCATTGAGGTTAACAAACAAATATCACTCTTCTAGAACAATAATAGAATTGAGTGCATACTTGATTCAAATTTAAATCACATAAAGTGAAAATGATAAAATACAAATCACACAAATACGAGCCGGACCGAAAAGAATAATTTGTGCGAAACATTAGAATAATGTGATTTAGGTCCAAGCCCAATGCAAATATCATTCGGGTTGAGATTGTATAGTCTAGATCCGTGAAATTCGGGTTGGGTTGAGTTGCCCGCCTTTCACCTTTGGCAATGTCCGACTCCTCTCTCTTTCTCTCTCCAACTACCAGTGAGACCCCAATTTTCTCGGTTCTCTCATGGAAACACCCATTCTCTCTCATCCCTCTCTATAGCTCTCTCTAGCGGTCTCTCATTCTCAAATCTGCTGAATTGTTTTCGGGTAATAATTTTTCCAAATAGTTGTTGAAAAAAATTTGTGGGTCATTGAGCCATTGCCCCTTTGGGGCATTAATTCTCGACTTTCATCTTCACACACATCTATACACATACATACATTTATGCATGTATGTATATTTATGTGTTTTTCTCTGATTATATATCTAATATCCCCCAATTTATGGATATAAATCATATAGCTATTTCTGATCACTTTCTGTAATTATTGTCACAGCTCTCTGTTTCTCACTGCCAGAACAGAATCCATTGCATCTGAGAGTTGATAACAGCTTTCTCTGTCTATATTCATTGTTACATTCACATGTAAGAGCTTTATTACATCTCTATTTTATGACTATCTCTTTTTCCTTGTTTGTGCTCAATATCTATTACCCTTTCTCTATGCATGCTATTTCTTAGTGTGTCTCTTTATATATTATTGTGGTTGTGTTGTTGTAATGGCTATGTTGTTGGTGGTATTTGGATCCTCCTAGTATTCATCCAATGGGAGACAGAGTGTCATGTCGCACAATTCAGTTTTTCTTTTGGGTATAAGGTATAGGGTTTAGGGTTTGTGTGTCTTAGCAAATAATGCATATACCCATTTGACCCTATGTGACTTGAGTACTCAACCTTGCATTCTGAGAGGTAGAAGAGATACCACTGGACTACCTTGGCGATTACAAATAAGTATTTTATCGTCAACTTGAACTGGTGAAATGACAATGTCTAAACCGTTGGATTAATACTCGGACCTCTTCTTTGGAAGTAGAGGGTCCAAGTCCGTTGTTGTTGGCAGTAAAGGAGGGGTGTGACTAGGTTGGTACAACTGCTACAACTTGAGCAATCATGTTTAGCACACTCAAGAGGGTTGAATTTTCTTATTTCCTTAGTACCCTGATATCAAGTACTATACAAGAGTTAAGACACTTTGTGTTTGGTTAGTGTGGTTGGGTTGTTTGACTTGGTTCCAAGACTTTCCATTATTTGCATACCATAGGATTGCTTAAAATCACAGAACTTAAGTGTAAGCAATTGGTTTTAAGTTGATTCATCTCTGATTATTGGTCCCTAATCTTGGGGCGAATACGGCCTATCACAACATCATTTATTCATGAGAATGTTGTAATGGCTAGTGAACTCTATATTTGCATGCTTTAGTATTCTATGAGCTATCAATGTTTACAAAAGAGAGAGCACCGCCATGAAGATGAATGGGGGATTGGCTGAATATTTGAATTGAAGAAAGGAAAAAAATAATTGTATCTTATCTTGCTTGTTTTTGATCTTCAGTGCTAATGATAAAACCATCTTTACTTAATTGTATAAATATTTTGTCTTCCCACACACATATGTGTTTTAGCCAAATAATTGCAATGATTTAGATGAGTCAAAGCCATTCAATTATTTGGTTTGTTGGAATTGCAAAGTGGTTGTCCCAATAAAGTATATCACTATATCTGTCTATTTGATTAGAAAATGATTTTGAAGATTGTCTCAGCATCAACGTCAAACCTCATTGAAGTTTTGTGAATATTTTCTTTTTTCTTATTCGTAATAAAATTTCTGAATATTGGAGATGCTATAAATTAGAACGCGTTGTAACATCATGCTCTTATTATTTTCCTTTTTGAGATTGTTTGGATTTTGAATGTCATGTATGTTGACATTTCCCTGTAATTTGATGAGAATTTATTCATATTATTCATTGCATAAAACAATGTGTTCTCCCCATTATCGAAGACCGAAACAGAAAATCAATAAGAGAACAATGGCATCATAAAGCCAAAATTGATAGAATTCACAAGGAGCCCAGTGGCAACGACATTGTATACTCTATTTCTCTGATTATCAAAAGGATAAAAATCTTCAAAAGCATCAGGAGATTAAGCATCACACCCAACTGCAATTGATTAGACTTCAAATCATCTCGTAAACACTGTGTCTGCCTCTGAGTTACCGTAAATTGAATTCTCCCGTGTTGACTCGCATATTTTTACTAAAACCTAGGATGCAGTGCACCACATATGCCCCATTGTTAGTTATTTTATTAGGATTGTTATGATGTGACACACTGCATATCGTGAATTTGAGTAAAAGTACACGTGTTTACACACAATGAATCAACTTGAAATAACTTAGATGATCCCAATCCTAGTTAAAAACTTGAAATGTCTGACTGTTACTGAAGTCACTTCTGTTAATTATCTACCTCCCGAGCTTCTACTTCTAAATATATGGAACTGGTAAAATACTACTAAAGATTAGGAGCCGAGAGCTCGATGAGATTGTTTTCCTTTATCAGATTGTATGGATTTATAATGTCATGTATGTGAACATGTCCCATTAATCTGTTGAGAACTAATACACCTTTCACTTTGCAGAAACAATGAATTGACAGCTGCAATGACATTGTATACCCTATTTTCAGCAATGTTTAAAAAATTCAAATGTCTCGGGGTGTTAGAAATCACTTCTGGCAGAATACAACCGAAGAATGAAAGCTCGGTACAGATTAGATGGAAAAACAGTCCAAAGTATGTAATGTGTGGCAATGGATATGGCTATTCCTGATGCATTCTTGAAATAAGCTTGATCTCTATTCACAACTGTCATTGGTCGAATAATCAATCCTAGCGGGATCCTTCATTTTTTATTTTTTTACCTTTTGTAATTAATGTTTTTGTATAATTTTCTCATATCTCGTGAAGAAAATTCTTTTGATGTATTATCTCAGTGTTTTTTTATCTTTATTGTGAGCTGCATCTATATTTTAATAAACCTCATGTAACGACATTTTGATCCATCAATGATTCTGCTGCCTTTTTGCAAATGAAGATAAGTGTTGTGTGTCATTTCAGTGCTACTGATGGTGTCTTGCTTGAGCCAGTGGTCACATCTTTAGGAGATGGTGTTCGGAAACAGAGTATATAGGCTCATTTCCATTATGAAATGTCACTGAAAATTGTAGTTTGTCGATCTGAGAGACGCGCGCTCCAGCTCCAGTTGAGCCTAGATTTGACTTTGGGAGCTCTGTGGAACATTGATTGCTCGTCAAGTGGTCAATTGGGAGCAAAATTTCATTTCATTTAGTCAATCTCGTCTTTATGCTCGAACTTGATGCTAATAAGGAGAAAATTTGGTTATTGAATTCAATTATGATCGAACAATTTTGGGGTTCATCAACATGTTTGTAGTTAGGCCTAAACACCAAAGAATTGTTAGAGCTTGACACATTTACTTTTATAACATTAAAAGGGTTTGAATTTGATTTTTACTTTACAAACGAATAGGAATGTAACTTTTAATGAACTAAACTCAAAACTGTTCTTAAATTTCATTTACAGGCCATATATATATATATGAGTGTTTGTGTGTGTGTGTGTGTGAGAAAGAGATATGGATAGAATACGCCATCTAGCACAAAAGTCGTGTATGCTGATAATCATGATACCCTGCCATACATGTTGTTCAACAGGCCATACATACATACATACATATATATGCATACATACATACATATATATATATATATATAAGAGAGTTTGTGAGTGTGTATATGGGAGAGAGAGATGGATAGAATACGCCATGCAGCACAAAAGTCGTGTATGCTGATACCCTGCCATACATGTTCAACCAGCCATTTGTCTTTACTACTTTAATTTTATAATTCAATATTTGTAGCAATCACCGAAAACCTAACTCAAGTTTAGAGAAATAATTGTAATAAAAGCTTAAAAGACATCTTCAAGTGATTTAAAAAAATAAAACAATTGTAATTTATTACGCTGATTGGGATTTTATCACATTATTTTTGTCACCTACTAAAGAAATACCACCTTATCCTAATAAAATAGTCGATCTCAGATCAATACAAAAAGAACGGCTTATCTGTGCAATATATAGAATATATATACATATATAAAGAGGGCCAGTGGGATGACAGATGATTGTCATTTTCAGCCGAATATTGCTTTCATGTTACTTAATAGAATAAAATGGTTTTATTATTATTTTTTCAGTCAACTCAAGATTTCCTCTATTATCAAGATTTTTATCTAGACAAGTTCTCACATACTTGCACAAACTGATTGTTTCTGCTATTTAAAATATTTTATATGACTAATCTTATAATAAAAGAGATTGTGATTCACGTTTTTATAGGAACAAATTGACGTGTGAATTACTTGTTAGAAGAAAAAAAGAAAGAAAAAAAAAAAAAAAAACATTGATATAGTTTTAATGAAGGTCAATTTTTGTTTAAAGGAAAATAATTATCTTTGATGGGACTTCAAAGGCCCAAAGATTTAACTTATGAGAAAATAATTTAAAAGATAACATCATGTATCATGGATAAACTCAATGATATATATTGTCTCATAAATAATTCGACAACAACCATGACTATTTCTTAAGCAATGATGGATAAATTGACTAAATAGGCCAACCATACAAACTAATTAAAACACAACCAGTTGATACACTTACGTGCAATCCACTTTATGCAATCTTGTTATTATTATTTTTTTCTCAAATCATTCTTTAATTAAATTCGTAATGTTGCGTCTCCTTTTAGACGAAAACCATTTATCATGAATTATGTTCGTGGTATACCTTCATCTATACGAATGTGTTTCATGCTGCAGTTAAACGTGTCTTTATTTTGTCAAGCTAGCTATATACGAAGTATTATCAACGATTTTTACATGTTGAACCTTAATTGCCTTAATAGATACGGGTGCAGATCTTAATTGCATTCAAGAAGGGCTCATACTAACCAAATACTATGAGAAAACTTCTGAATAATTACATTCTGCAAATTGAAATAAAATGGAGATAAAATACAAATTGTCAAAAGCACATATTTGTTAAAATAATGTGTGTTTTAAAACGTCATTTGTCTTAGTAAAAAATATGACAGATAAAGTTATCCTAGGTCTACCATTCATTTATCTGCTATATCCTTTCACGATAGATAAAGAAGGCTTAGTCACTCGCCCCTTTGGACAAGAAGTCCAATTCAAATTTCTAAGCCAACCTTCTCGAAAAGAATTAAATTGAATTAAAATTTGTGACCGACTCTTCTGTCTCCAAATCCATAAATTTGCTCCACAGTAAAACCAAACAATTGCGATTTCTTAAAGAAGAAGTAAACTTTAAGAGAGTAGAAACTCAATTAGCAGATCCAATACTCCAATAAAAATTAGAAACTTTGAAGAACAGGTCAAAAGAAAGGTTTGTTCTAATATTCCTATGGCCTTTTGGCATAGAAAAAGAAATTCAATTAAGTTACCATACATCAAAGGTTTTAATGAAAAATACATCCCTACTAAAGCAAGGCCAATCCAGACGAGTCCTGAAGTAATGGAATTCTGTAAAGCTAAAATCAATGATCTCCTTAAGAAGAAGATCATTAAAAAGAGTAAGTCACCATGGTCGTACCCAACTTTTTATGTTCAGAAGAATTCTAAAATAGAAAGAAGTGTTCCCCGATTAGTTATCAACTATAAACCATTAAATAAGGTATTAAAATGGATTAGGTATCCCATTCCTAATAAAAAAAGAAAAAAAAAAGACCTAATCAGCAAATTAAGCCAAGCAGTTGTTTTCTCTAACTTTGATATGAAGTCAGGATTCTAGCAAATCCAACTTAGGAAAAAGGACAGATACAAAATCGCATTTACTACCCCCTTTGGTCATTATGAGTGGAAAGTCATGCCTTTTGGACTAAACAATGCCCCAAGTGAGTTTCAAAATATCATGAATGATATCTTTAATCATTTCAGTCATTTCTCAATTATCTATATTGATGATGTACTCATATTTTATAAATCAATTGATGAACACTGGAAACATTTAAAATCGTTTATAGCAGTTATAGAAAAAAGCGGTCTTGTAGTCTCTGCCTCTAAGATACAATTATTCCAGACTGAAGTTAGATTTCTTGGCTATCATATTTATCAAGGTCAAATACATCCAATAGATAGGTCCCTCCAATTTGCAAACAAATTTCCTGATGAAATACCGGATAAAACCCAACTCCGAAGATTCTTGGGATCCTTAAATTACATTGCTGATTTTTACCAAGATCTTCGAAAACAATGCAAACCCTTGTTTGATCGACTTCAGAGTAATCCTCCTCCTTGGTCTTCTATTCATACGGACAATGTTAATCAATTAAACAATATGTCAAATCTGTAACGACCCGACCCGTGGGTCTGAACCATTAACTGGGTCTTTGCCCGAACCCGAGGTCACCTAAGTCAATCGCGTCAAATCTAATGTCAAGAACGATATTCTTAGGTTATAATTATGTTTTACAAAAGCTCTAAGCAACTTCCCAAAACGTAGGATGGATTACGCCGGAGAAAAGAACAAAATGGGACAAGACAGCACAGTTCGGTCGACCGAAATAGAGCTTCGATCGGCCGAAGTGAGTCCACCTAAACCAGTCAGCCAAAGTAGCCAACCGGTTGACCGGTTGTGATCCTCTACAGTAGCAGAGGCTACTGGAAGAACCTGTCGGTCGATACAGGCATTTCTGCTGACCGAAATGACCCATCGAGCTGAATTTCAGCTACTAGACTGCTATGAACCTGAGAGTGAACTAAGGCTTTGCTAGGGACTTTAAAATTGATCCATAACCTTTCCTAACACCCTAAAATTTGACATTATACATTTCCATGGATAAAAACATCAACAATAAACTACAACGCAACATCATTCTTCTTTATAAATAGGAACTAATGCATAATCTTTACATTTATCCAAACTTACATAAAAAATACTATAATGAGTTTAAAGTTATATTACAAGGCCATACTTTACAACTGGATACATCTCAACATGATACTTGACAAAAGAAGGGCTCAATATACAAAAAATAACAAAGAAATAGACTTCTAATCTCCTTCAAACTTGTGGTCGATTATCATCCGCCACATCCTTGCTCAGTAAGTGGTGCCTAAGACACAGCTCTTGTGACCCCGTGAATCTAAACAATGAATAGAAAAATAAAAAACGGGATCATGATATGCCAGGGAAAATACAACACAGTTTCAATGCCATAATAAACAATACCGTACCATGAAATGCAATGCCATGCTATGTCGCTCCTCATTTTCAAAATTACTTTCATTTCTTCACTTTTCAAACCGTTAACATAACCCGTCCCACGGTGACTCCCTAGCGACACGAGGGAAGGATTGGCTACTGTCCCTGACCCTTGGTAACCCCGTAACGTCATTTGGGGCCCAGATAGCTCAACAACGCTAGGGCGATCTCCCTAATTCCCTCTAGGTTATATTAACGCCACGGACCCTCGGTACCCCCTTGGCGTCCGGGTTTTCACAAAACTTTTTTATCAAAACTTTCCCCAAAGACCCTTTTTTCTTTCATTTCAAATCAATTCCCCTTTTTCATGCCAATAATGTACATGTATGTCTCATACTTTCTAATGTTATGATAATAGGAGATTTTCATACTATACAAATTAACATGCTTCCATATAGCAATTTCTACAAGTTATCAGACACAATAAGTATGGAAATTAACACTTAGGCATGTTTTTCATGCAAATCAACAATTACAGACATTCATAGGCTTCATACACAACAATTAATTCATTTTAAAAGTAACCAATACAAATTAAGCATGTTTGACAACAAATAATAAAGAATAATTCACAAAGGTGCAAGAAATTGTGAATTAGAAACCCCTACCTCAAGTTAGATGAAATCCCCAATTTGATGCCCAAATTTCGAATTTCCTAGGATGGCCAAAAGTGTTATTTGTTCTTATCAATGCGTAGATCTCAATAAGCTCTCT